GGGGCCAGAGCATTCCCAGGATGGGTGACCCACTGGAAAGTTGCTCGTGAGTTCCCAGAAACAAAACTGTGAGGGCGTGGTTAGGACCCAAAGCAGACAATATCGTGCAACGGTGGTGGAGCGGGCCCGGGAAGTGATCCACCCCGGGCCGGGATGTGACAAATGGTATCAGAGCCAATCCCTGGCCAGAAGTGTGCCAACGAGGATGTCGAGCTCCTAAGGAGGGTGGATTGTGACATTCCACATCGCCTAGGGGAGTGATCCTTAAATGTATATTCTCATCCCTACCTAGCACGAGGTCTTTTGGGAGCTCATTGGGAAATTGCTCGTGAGTTCCCAAAAACAAAACCGTGATGGCGTGGTTAGGGCCCAAAACGAACAATATCGTGCTACGGTGGTGGAACGGGCCTGGGAAGTGATCCACCCCAGGCCGGGATGTGACAAATGGTATCAGAGCCAATCCCTGACCAGAAGTGTGCCTACGAGAACGTCGGGCCCCTAAGGAGGGTGGATTGTGGCATCCCACATCGCCCAGGGGAGTGATCCTTAAATGTATATTCCCATCCCTACCTAGCACGAGGTCTTTTGGGAGCTCATTGGGAAATTGCTCGTGAGTTCCCAGAAACAAAACCGTGATGGCGTGGTTAGGGCCCAAAACGAACAATATCGTGCTACGGTGGTGGAACGGGCCTGGGAAGTGATCCACCCCAGGCCGGGATGTGACAAATGGTATCAGAGCCAATCCCTGACCAGAAGTGTGCCTACGAGAACGTCGGGCCCCTAAGGAGGGTGGATTGTGACATCCCACATCGCCCAGGGGAGTGATCCTTAAATGTATATTCCCATCCCTACCTAGCACGAGGTTTTTTTGGGAGCTCACTGGCTTCGAGTTCCGTAGGAACTCCAAAGTTAAGCGAGAAGAGGGCCAGAGCACTCCCAGGATGGGTGACCCATTGGGAAGTTGCTCGTGAGTTCCCAGAAACAAAACCGTGAAGGCGTGGTTAGGGTCCAAAGCGGACAATATCGTGCTACGGTGGTGGAGCGGGCCCAGGAAGTGATCTACCCCGGGCTGGGATGTGACAATGGTACTATTCACTTTACCCTTTATTTTATTTTTATCGTTAAAACTAAAAAATTTCAAACTCTTTTCATTAGTTTTCCTTTCTTTTTTACATTACACATATTTTTTTTTATTAATTTTTGTCATTTAATCATCTTTAATAGTTTTAATATGATGTCCAAAAATCAACTAAAAATGTATAGAAGTAGAAAATGTTGCGTGGATAACAGTAGCCAAGCCAAATCAGTAGTTTGTAGTTTGAAAACTGGTCTTTTAATTGTTTTGAATACAGTTTTCAATGCTACATATCATTGAATCATTTAATACTACGTAGTTTTTAATTGTTAGATTAATTTTCACAATTGTTTAGATTTTTTATTTTTAATCTTAGTCATTCATTTTCGTATCATTTAACGCTACATAATATTTTGAAGAAAATTTTCCATAGTTTTAGCCCAGTAGCATTCTGTAGCTCTTTTATTGAAATACTTATTAAAACTCCACTTAGTCTCACTTTCTCGATCAACTTTTCTTCTATGATATGTATCATTGAGTGATTTAAAAAATCGACGATTAGATCTTTCATATACAGATCTGATACCTTTACATTTGCTATATTTATTTATTTTTTTTTTAAATCGTAACACTAAGTGATATTTACCATTGTAGCCGGACTCGTTCCTGAAACTTCATTTGTTGCACTTGTCTCTCAATTAGTCATTTTCTATTTACTTTGCCCTATTCCAACTTCTAGTTTTGCTTACATGGCCGTTAGTTAAACATTTGTGCTACCAAACAATCATTTTTCTCAATTTCTTTTCAATTGAAACACTCCTTTTTTTAGTTTTCTGCACTTTAAAGGTGACTAAAAAACACAAAAATCGCTGCCGGTAGATGTACAAACTGACTGGAATAGAAGCTTCCTAAGAAGATGATTGTTCATGTCTTTAAAGTATATAATGATATGTGAGTGACACTTGCATTGGGGTAGCAACAAAATATATATTCTCATTTGACACAAAATTAAGAAGATGACTGCAAATGTAAAATTCGAAGGTGTAAAAACAGCTACCTAATTTGCAGATCAAAGAACCAACACAACACACTAAGGGTGTGTTTGGTTTGTAGGAAAATAGGGCGGAAAGTGACGTCCTCCATCCACATTAGGCAATCACAGGCAAGAAAGCCAGGGCGATGCCGTGGGTTTTCAACTCTAGTTACACATAATTACAACAATGTTTCTAATTCTACTACTACATATTTACAACCATACTCACAATCCTATTTACAGATATACTAATCGGTATTTAAAACCATGTTAAATGGGGGGAGTTTTACCTCAAGATTAACCATGTCCTACCGGGTGTAAGCAAATAACTCCAGTTCCGGAAGCGGTGAGTTTTCTCGTAGGACTGTGGCAAGTAAGGCAGAGTCAGTTCCAGTCCCACGCTGGGTAAACTCTTACTCCCGCCTCCCCCAGTACAAAACTTGATAAAATTAAACAAATCCCCATGTCATTGGTTTTCACTTTGACCCCTGCTCTTATAAACTGGGCTAAATGCTGCACATGGACCGTCAATTTCCACTGCAAAGAACGGTTTCTCCATCGTCACCACCATTGGTGTTCTCTTCCTGTTTTCCTTTGCCCAGACATTGGAATATCCAATTTTGAAGCTATTTTCTCACACTAAATAGCAAAAAATATAAATTTAAAAATTAGAGAAAAACAAAGAAAAGCATCTAAAACTTATATTAGGAGACAGAAAAATAAGCAAAACCCAGTTGAGAACTCACCATAAAAAACCAAACTTCACCTAAGAAAACTCTTAAAAATCAAAAAAAAAAAAAAAATTGAAGAACCTATTTGAACTTTACACAGGATGTATCAAAGGAAAGACAAAAAAGAAAAGAGTAAAGTCATCAAGCTCAACCCTTTAATTTAAACTCCAAAAATATTAAACACAACCCCATTGAATCATTAATCTTACTGTAACAACAAATTATTATGGCCAAACACAAAATTGAGATTGAGCATGTTAATTTTATTTTAAAGGATTCATAATTTACCTAATTCATCTAATTAGCAGCCACTAATTACAAATAGATTTGTAGATGCAGGACTAAATTAGTTCGGGTTTGGACTGCAATTCACACAATTACCTATATTTTTCCCAATTGTTATAATTTCCCAAAAAAAATCATAGGAAAAAAACAGACTTGAATCAAACCCACCTTCCAGCTTGAGCGAAACGACGCCGTCTTCAACGGAGACAATATCGACGTTACCGCCATCAGCCATGAGCAAGGTATTAAATATCGATGATATCGGAAATATCGGTAGTTCAAAAACACGGAAATATCGATGGAAATATCGGGATATTATCGATATCGATAAAAATAATATGGAAACCAAGGAAATTGTAAGAAAATTTGGAAATTTTTATTGAAACTTTGCAGGATGTTTATTTAGTCAATTATCTATTAGTTTATCACAAAAAATTGGAAGGAAAGACATTGCATGATGGATTTAACTGATTTAAGTTGATTATATAACGAGCTGGCAAACATTGTGAGTGTAGAAAATATATAGTAATTAATGAAAGAAGTTTAAACACACCATAATCATTTATATATAATAAATTATTTGGATCATTGGATCAGAGAGCTAGAGACAGGTTTTGAATTATTTGGATCATTGGATGCTTTTCTTTTCTCACACGCCACCACACACACAGAGAGTCAGAGAGTGAGTCACACTCACACGCCACCACACACACACAGAGATCGAGATTCGAGACCCCCCACACCACACACGCACACAGAGACTGAGCTCAGTCTCTCGATCCTTCCTTCTCTCTTCTGAGTTTTGAGTCTTCTCCCTTCCTTCTCTCTTCTGAGTCTTCTCCCTTCCCTTCTCCCTTCTCCAGTTCTCCCACACACACACACAGACATCATATCTCGATCATCCTTGTCCGCGTCTTCCGCCTCGTCGGCGTCGTCTCCATCTCCCGTGCCATAACCTTTACCTCAAATCGGTCATCCCCATCGGCGCCCTCTACTTCCTTTCCCTCTGCTCCTCCCTCGCCTTCCTCCTCGTCGAGCCCGTCACCATGTCCCGCGACCTCTACCTCTCCTCCGTCGTCCCCATCGGCGCTCTCTACTCCTTCTCCCTCTGGCTCTCCAACTCCGCCTACATCTTCATCTTCATCTCCGTCTCCTTCATCCAGATGCTCATGGCCCTCATGCCCGTTGTCGTCTACTCCATCGGCGTCGCCTTCAAGCAATGTCGCGATAATATCGCTAATATCGCGATATTATCGATATTATCGATATTATCTCGATACTTTGATGAAAACCTATTGGATATGTGTAGAAATATCGGACTCCCAAAAAAACGATAATATCGGCAAAATATCGTCGATATTATCGATTTTTTATACCTTGGGTATGAGAGATTGCGAAATCGAATTTGTTGGTTTGAAGGGGGGTTTTGCGATGGCTGTGAGCGAGAGAGAAAAGCAGGGAGGGTTATCAGGCAGTGAAAAGTTAAACCAAATAGAGAGGAGACGACACGCACAGTAGATGACAGCGCACTATCGTATAAAAGCAACACGTGTGTCTTGGCTTTTTAGTCATTTCACTGTGAAAGAAAGAAAAAGATAGAACAATTTAAACAGAAAAACAGGGGCAATGCCGTAATTACACTGCTTAGGAACAGTGTTTTTCTCATTGCGCTTTAGTATGTATAATTTCCTTGCTCGCGCTAAACTAACATAAAACATTAATTGCTTTTTTATGACCAATCGTACCTTCATTGATAATTGAAAATGCTCATTATAATTTATAACCTAAAAGTTGATATTTCCTTCCATGATTACCAAATACAGAAAAACAAATTTTCATTTTCGCGTATGAAACATAGCCTAATTGGTAAGGAAACTGATTCATCACACTATTTTTATCCAAGAGCACATCCCATATTTATGAGCGTTTAGATAAACTAAACTAAAGAATATCAAAAGACAAGAACCCATCTCCTCTAATTTCGACATAAAATTTCCAATTAATTCATTGGAAGTTTGAATTAAATCTAGGGGTTGAAGAAGTGATCGCCACAGTGACATTTCCAACCCAGAGGCTTGTAATTCGAGTACTTGTTGGTACCTGGATGAGATGGGTCAAGGAACATCATGGGGATGGTTCGGGTCATGCCTGGTTCGACCCGCCGCTCGCGGCTGGAAATGGTGGGCACTTGAACCGCCACGCATGGGTGGCAATAATTGCACTTGTTGTGGCAGCTTGGTGGTTCTGAACCCAGCCTGGTTTTCTCCTCAAATAACATGCCCTGCACAATTTTTAGCACAACATTAATTAACTAATTATAACCTTAGTTTTGTTTCAATTTGATCATAAATAAAAATGAAAATTAAGACACTGTTTAATAACCATTTTGTTTTCAGTTTTTTAAACATGAAAACTATTTATGTGATTTTTCAAAATTTGAGTTTCATTTTTCAATTTTCGATTTTCAGTTTTCAGAAAGGCAAAAAACAAAAATGCAATGGTTATCAACGGGCCTAAATTAATTGAAGGGTAAATGTTTGTGCTTACCCGAAGAGGAGGAGTGAGAGGCTGAGGCAGATGAGCAGTAAAACAAAAGGCTGGAATTGAAGAGAGAAGAAAATGCACAAGGACAATGGCTCTGGTGGCTTTCAAATGAAGATAAAATGAGTTTTTCATGGTAGTGAAATATATATATATATATATATATATATATATATATATATATATATATATGATGCGCATATCATGTCACCATGCAGTCATCCCCCAGATTAAATTAAACACAACCCTTCAAGGATAATAAGTTTACAAAAAAGATATTGAAATCCCACTTCCCAATTTCTCTGAAAGTACTTCAAAGGCAATAAGCGAGAGAGAGAGAGAAAGGTTTTGGTTAAATTTGTGATGGAGTGGATAAAAGGAAGGAACAGGAAGTGAATAAATTTTTGGGGGCGGGGGGGGGGGGGGTGGTGGGGTGGTGGTGTCGGTTATGGGGTTCTGACTGACCAATGAGAGAGAGAGAGGTGCAGGGGGGGGGGGGGTGGGGTGGGTTGGTGGTGGTCGGTTATGGGGGTTCTGACTGACCACAATGAGAGAGAGAAAGAGGTGCAGAGGGGAGGCAGAATAGTGAAAGGAACAATACGAAAAAGCAAAACAAGTTAGTAAGTATGTGTTGTAGTCTAACTGGTTTTATCTGCAGCTGGGAAGTGAGTAGAAGTGACTTGCAGTACATACAGTAGGCCTGGTAAACGGATCGTGTTTGTCGTGTTCATGTCGTTTTCGTGTAACACCTGTTATCATAACGGATCGTATCGTGTCACAACCATTATCTTAACGGGTCCTTAACAGGTCGGGTAAAGTGACCTGACCCACCCGTTAAGAAAAATATTTTTTTTTCTTAAATTTGCACATACCACACATTGCCACATAAATATTACTTCAAAACATTAAAACACATTTTTCGTTTAAGTACTACATCTACACTCGAAAATAAGTGCCTAATAAAAAAATAATACATACACTACTAATCTATTACAAATTTAAATGTGCAAGGATATGCAAAAATGAAACAGTTTTTGTTTTCAAGGTTGTGAAATCTTTCTCAAAAGTTTAAACCTCAATTTACAAAATCCTCGATTTACATCGATCATCATGAAATTGCATTGGAACTTTGGCTTGATCTAGCCTTCCAATGTTATCAATTTTTTAAATTTAATTTAACATATATATTAAAAAAACATTAAAAATCATTAATTTTTTAGGTTTAAAATAATTATGAAAAAAAATAAAACAATAGTTTATTCATACTTTTATTAAGTATAACATAAGATTTTGTGGTATCCACTAGTGTAAATATTTTAAATTGAAGATCGAATTCAATCATTGTATTCATATAGGGTCAAGGAGTGTAGTTGTAAAAAATCATCAAAATCGGAGTTAAAATAACCGTTAAATCGTGATTTTTCTTTTTATAACCGTCGAAAAGTTTTGTCCCGTTACTTGATCTCTGAATGTTTTTTTTTTGCAATTTTTGGCGTATGCGATCTCGAAGTATATATACAAACATGTTTGACGGTTGGATCTTTGAAACTAGTTTCGTAGAATGCGAGTATCCCATCAAAACAATAGATTCACTAATACTTAAGAGTTTATTCATACTTTATTAAGTATAACATAAGATTTTTGTGGTATCCACTAGTGTAAATATTTTAAATTGAAGATCGAATTCAATCATTGTATTCATATAGGGTCAAGGAGTGTAGTTGTAAAAAATCATCAAAATCGGAGTTAAAATGACCGTTAAATCGTGATTTTTCTTTTTATAACCGTCGAAAAGTTTTGTCCCGTTACTTGATCTCTGAATGTTTGTTTTTTGCAATTTTTGGCGTATGCGATCTCGAAGTATATACAAACATGTTTGACGGTTGGATCATTGAAACTAGTTTCGTAGAATGAGTATCCCATCAAAACAATAGATTCACTAATACTTAAGAGTTTATTCATACTTTCATTAAGTATAACATAAGATTTTGTGGTATCCACTAGTGTAAATATTTTAAATTGAAGATCGAATTCAATCATTGTATTCATATAGGGTCAAGGAGTGTAGTTGTAAAAAATCATCAAAATCGGAGTTAAAATAACCGTTAAATCGTGATTTTTTCGTTTATAACCGTCGAAAAGTTTTGTCCCGTTACTTGATCTCTGAATGTTTTTTTTTGTAATTTTTGGCGTATGCGATCTCGAAGTATATACAAACATGTTTGACGGTTGGATCTTTGAAACTAGTTTCGTAGAATGAGTATCCCATCAAAACAATAGATTCACTAATACTTAAGAGTTTATTCATACTTTATTAAGTATAACATAAGATTTGTGGTATCCACTAGTGTAAATATTTTAAATTGAAGATCGAATTCAATTCATTGTATTCATATAGGGTCAAGGAGTGTAGCTGTAAAAATCATCAAAATCGGAGTTAAAATAACCGTTAAATCGTGATTTTTTCGTTTATAACCGTCGAAAAGTTTTGTCCCGTTACTTGATCTCTGAATGTTTGTTTTTTGTAATTTTTGGCGTATGCGATCTCGAAGTATATACAAACATGTTTGACGGTTGGATCATTGAAACTAGTTTCGTAGAATGAGTATCCCATCAAAACAATAGATTCACTAATACTTAAGAGTTTATTCATACTTTCATTAAGTATAACATAAGATTTTGTGGTATCCAGTAGTGTAAATATTTTAAATTGAAGATCGAATTCAATCATTGTATTCATATAAGGTCAAGGAGTGTAGTTGTAAAAAATCATCAAAATCGGAGTTAAAATAACCGTTAAATCGTGATTTTTCGTTTTATAACCGTCGAAAAAGTTTTGTCCCGTTACTTGATCTCTGAATGTTTTTTTTTGCAATTTTTTGCTGATGCGATCTCGAAGCATATACAAACAAGTTTGACGGTTGGATCGTTGAAATTAGTTTTGTATAATTCGTATCCCATCAAGTTCAATGGTGTGTGTGTATATATATATATTTATATTTATTAAGTAGATTTAAATCTATTTATTTTGTACGTATAATTGACGGTACACGAGGTACATCACGTGTCATTATAAAAATAGTGGGAATGTCATATGTGTGATAAAAAGTTAATAACTTAAAAAAAAAAAATTCTCACCACTTTTATTAATTTTCATTTTTCCCTCTC